AGGAAGAACTTCCTGACTGTGAGAGCCGTTCAGCAGTGGAACTCTCTGCCCCGGAGTGTGGTGGAGGCTCCTTCTTTGGAAGCTTTTAAACAGAGGCTGGATGGCCATCTGTCAGGGGTGATTTGAATGCGGTATTCCTGCTTCTTGGCAGGGGTTGGACTGGATGGCCCATGAGGTCTCTTCCAACTCTTTGATTCTAAGATTCTATGATTCTTAAAAGCCTTTCTTTAGAGGCTGTTCTTAAAGCTGTGAGGCTGTAAATTCCCCAGCCAGAGCTTTTGGGACTGTTTTCCTCCAGACTTTATAAGAAACGAAGCTTCTCTACAGGTAGAAAACTTTCACGTCCTGTAGCTGAGCTTCCAACTGTAAGACTAAAATGGTTCCCTTTCCCTCCTGAACCTGGAAAAAGGGGCGGAACTAAAACTTAACAATGATAGACAGGTGGCTAGCCCCATGACTGCAGCCTAGCAGGAACCATCCAACTGCAAAATGCATGGCCAGAACAAGCACATGCAAACGCTCAAAGAATGAAAGGGAGTTTGGAGCTCCTGGTACAGCCGTACCAGCACATAGTGCATTAATCCCACATTGCAGATTGCTTTTTCTTCCCTTCCGATTTGTGATGATTTTGTGGACCTTTTTGAGGGAGAAAGAGCTGACGAAAAAATCTGGGGATCTCTCAACTTTGCACGATTTTTTGCATTCCGTTTAGTGAACTTTGGATTTGGAAATCTAGACATCCTTCATTCCAGACCAAGGAGAGAAAAGGAGGAGGGATGCAGCCAAAGCCAAGCAGCAAAAAGGTCCAGCTGGCTCCAGATGTGTGGCAAGAGGCCATGCTGCTCCATGCCATAAATCAAAGAGGCATCTTGCTGCTCTGGGACCAAGGAGGAGGAACGCCTTGTCCTTAAATTCTGTTTACTCACTATAGAATGGATCAACAAGAGTGGACCTCTTTGCAGAACGTGCAAAGCCTTTCCATCAATGCAAACCAGCTTCATTTACACATCCTTTTGGAGGCACGAACAGTGGAACAAACTTGCAGGGATTTACACAACAACTTGATATAGATGTACAAAATTGTAAACATTGTCCTTGCAGCTAGGAAGGGGTCGGTTTGTCCTTTTCCTTTCAAAGATACTCATTGCTCAAGTGAGTGTTTGTTCTTTAAGACAGAACAAAAATGAAACACAACACATTATCTCCTTCTATGAACCGGCACGAGTTCTAAGATCTTCCGGGGAGGCCCTCCTCTCGGCCCCACATCCGTCACAAGCACGGTTGGTGGAGATGAGAGAGAGGGCCTTCTCAGTGGTGCCCCCTTGTCTCTGGAACACCCTTCCAAGGGAATAAGACAGGTCCCATCCCTCCCCTCCTTTTGTAAGAGCTTGAAGACCTGGTGGTTTCAACAAGCCTTTGAAAATGACCAGTTCTAACTCAGCCCTACACATTGTCGAATACGGCCTTATTCTTCCTACCAATTACCCAGATTCTTTCTTCTAATTGGCTTCAGAATGAACAGCCACAGACCCGTATCTAATATTATTGTTGCTTGCCATAGCATTGCACTTAATTCCCGGGTCCCCTAGAATTTTTGGGCTTGCACAAATCTTGGCCCGGCCTTTTAATTTTTTTAATTGCCTTGAACAGGCAGGATTCCTTTTAATATATGTGTGCTATGGCGACATCTGTTATAGAACTCCAGTATGCTGATGACAATGTTGTCTGTGCTCATTCAGAAGAAGACCTACAAGCCACTCTAAACACCTTCGCAGAAGCATACGAGCAGCTCGGCCTGTCATTAAACATCGAGAAAACCAAAGTGCTCTTCCAGCAGTCACCAGCCAATCTCTCTAATGCCAGAAATATACCGTAGTGGTGTAACATTAGAAAATGTTGACCATTTCCGCCACCTGGGCAGCCACCTCTCCATCATTGACACCGAAATACAACACCGCCTGAGCTCTGCGAATGCACCCTTTTTCTGAAAGAAGCAGAGAGTGTTTAAGTGTTCGCCAAGCCTCCTCCCAGCTCTTTGCACGCCAGCCAATCACCTTCGAGTCAGGCGAGGGGTGGGGAGCGGGCGATTTGAACCACACAACTCTGTATTTTCTATAAAAATGGCATTTATTTCTGTACATGTATGCTTAGCTTGGCAAATGATTGCTGCTTTGCATCCTTTTCAGCTGAATCGCTAATAAACATCTCGGTAGCGCTTCCTTCTACTTTGGTGAGATTCTTATTGGGAACTTAGGGGAAATAAATTGCTTAAAATTAGGCTTCTCTTTGCTCACCAACATAGCGATCCCTCTTTGGTGGGGCCGCAGGGTCTCTCCTCCTGGGACAGATCCTTCTAAAGTTCCTATCGACTTCAATGCCACTTATTTAGCAAGACAAGATCCTCATTTTTGGGTTGTTGTGGGTATTCCGGGCTGTATGGCCATGCTCCAGAAGTATTCTCTCCTGATTTTTCACCTGCATCTCTTGCAGACATCCTCAGAGGTTGTGAGATTAGTTTATTTTATTTTTCTGGTTATTTAATATTTAATGTTTATTTTACTTAAGTGATATTTGTCTTTACTGTTCTAATTTATTTATTTATTTATTTTGTTTACTTCTACCCCGCCCTTCTCACCCCGAAGAGGACTCAGGGCGGCTTACAAAAACAAGGCACAATTCGATGCCCATATCACACAACAGTAATAAAACAAAATAGCATAAATTAGCAATCAAACCACAATTCCACATTACATCTATAAACCGATAAAACCAATAAGACCAATAAAAATCCATACAAACCAATACAAACCAATTACTCCTTATTGCCGGTCAGCGTTCGCTATCTCATAGTTCAAATTCCAATTCCACAATTGTCAGTCCTGTCAGTCCTATTCGTCTGGTTGTCCTTATCTAGTTAGCAGATTGCCCGAAGGCCTGGTCCCACAACCACGTCTTTACCTTCCTCCTGAAGGAGAGGAGGGATGTTGATGCCCTAATTTCCCCCGGGAGTGAGTTCCACAGGTGAGGGGCCACCACTGAGAAGGCCCTGCTCCTCGTCCCCACCAGCCTCACTTGTGATAGCGGTGGGGTCGAGAGCAGGGCCTCCCCAGATGATCTCAAATTCTGAGGTGGGACGTAGAGGGAGATACGTTCGGACAGATACACTGGACCGGAACCGTACAGGGTTTGTAGGTCAAAACCAGCACCTTGAATTGTGCTCGGAACTGAACCGGCAGCCAGTGGAGCTGACACAGCAGGGGGGTGGTGTGCTCCCTGAATGAGCAGTCTGGCTGCCGCTCGCTGGACCAGTTGAAGTTTCTGAACCGTCTTCAAGGGCAACCCCACGTAGAGTGCGTTGCAGTAGTCTATTCGGGATGTAACAAGAGCGTGGACCACTGTGGCCAGATCAGACTTCCCAAGTTTTAATTGTGCAAAAGCTCTCCCAGCCACCGCTGAAACCTGGGGTTCCAGGCTCAGCGATGAGTCCAGGATCACTCCCAAGCTGCGAACCTGCGTCTTCAGGGGGAGTGTAACCCCGTCTAACACAGGCTGTAACCCTATGCCCTGTTCGGCCTTACGACTGACCAGTAGGACCTCTGTCTTGTCTGGATTCAGTTTCAATTTGTTAGCTCTCATCCAGTCCGACACAGCTGCTAAACATCGATTCAAGGTCTGGACAGCCTCTTTGGTGACAGGTAATGTAGCACAAATCCTATGTAAAATCATACTACGTATTTGTGACATTAATATTGAAATCTGAAATATATATAGAAAAGATGCCTGCAAGAGATGCAGGCAAAACGTCAGGAGAGAATGCTTCTGGAGTGTGGCCATACAGCCCGGAACAACCCAGTGATTCCGGCCATGAAAGCCTTCCTCCCATCGTCCCAAACTTTTGGGGAAAGAAATAGCAGAAGCAGCCAAAAAATCAAAAACAAACTCCGATCACACAAAGGAGGTTTTCGCAAGTGGATGACAACATTGTATGAAGCCCCATAAAATCCAAGGCAGTGGTCCAAAGTGTCTCTGAAATTGCTTTATTTTTTATTACTTTTCCTGACTTGGGTTGTCAGGAATTCTCCCATCGCGCCTTTGCCCCAGAAAGAGATTTTCAGCACATCAAAAATAGAAAGGGCATCCGTGGGCTGGCGAGCCTCCTGGTATGTCTTGTATCCCGGACTTTCCCCCTCAATGGCCATAAAAACAGAAAGCAGCTGGGCTCGTGATGTCCTTGCAATGTTTACTGAAGAGGGATTATTGCATCCCCAGTTATTTATTTTAAGATGCTGCAATGAAAATATACGAGGGCTCTTTCCAACGAAAGAGTATTCCCCTCAGAAATGAAAAGCAGGGTTTTCGCTGAACAGTTTGTACTTTGGCAATATGTGGGGAAACAGAAGAGGCACATAAGGCGCATCTACACTGTAGAATGAATGCAGTTTGACAACACTGGCTCCTTGTTATGGTACTAAAATGACTAAAATGATAAAAGGTCTGGAGAACAAGCCCTATGAGGAGCGGCTTAAGGAGCTGGGCATGTTTAGCCTGAAGAAGAGAAGGCTGAGATGATAGCCATGTATAAATATGTGAGAGGAAGCCACAGGGAGGAGGGAGCAAGCTTGTTTTCTGCTTCCTTGGAGACTAGGACGCGGAACAATGGCTTCAAACTACAAGAGAGGAGATTCTATCTGAACATGAGGAAGAACTTCCTGACTGTGAGAGCCGTTCAGCAGTGGAACTCTCTGCCCCGGAGTGTGGTGGAGGCTCCTTCTTTGGAAGCTTTTTTTTTTTTTTTTTAAATTTTTTATTGATTATCACTTTATTACATACTATTACATTTTGTACATCAACCTCTTTAACATGTTATTTTATTATTTTACTCTGACATTTCTCCCCCTTTTTCTCATTTTTTTCCCCCTTTTTTCACCACAGTGCTCCCCTCCACCCATTTCAAGCCACCCTTCTTACATCTTCTTTGGAAGCTTTTAAACAGAGGCTGGATGGCAATCTGTCAGGGGTGCTTTGAATGCAATATTCCTGCTTCTTGGCAGGGGGTTGGACTGGATGGCCCATGAGGTCTCTTCCAACTCTTTGATTCTATGATTCTATGACCTCTCCTGAAGTCCTGGGATTTTTTGCCCCTCACTAAAACCCGTGATTTAGTGCTGTCTGTCAGTCAGAGAAGGCCAGATACTTTGTAAATCTGCAAATCCCATATTTCCATAGTGTTGAGTCATTACAACTCTGAGGCTTCCATAGCATTAAACCACGGCAGTTAAAGTGGTATTAACCTACATTCATTCTACAGTGTACATTCACTCATAAAAGAGGGACCAGAACATCCATAGAAGTGTCAGAATATCTGAAATATTTCCATATATTGTTTAGGAAACGCATAATGGGTCAGTTTGTGGCCTTTCGGCACCTCCTCCATGTTCAGCATCCACCAAAGACTCAACCGTTTTGACCGAGTCGATTTTGCCGGCACGAAAGATATCCCGATTGCTATTAAACTGGTAGAGGCTCAGCTTCAGCAGATGTTGGAGCCTGTCCTGGAACTGCCTTCCAATGAAGTAGTACAACAAAGGGTTGATGCAGCTGTTGGTGAAGCCCATCAAGAGGCCGAAAGGCAAGGCAGCGTCAATGGCGGAGGTGACCCGGCAGTCGCTGATCACCTCCATCCAAAACAAGGCATCCAGAAAGGTCAAGATGTGGAAGGGGAGCCAGCAGATCAAGAAGGCCGCCACCACCGCAGCTACTAGCTTCAAGACGTGGTCCCTCATCTGCTTGGTCTTCCTGAACCCCCGGGCCTTCATCAAATGGATCCGGATGGAAACATAGCACACGATGATGACAGAGAGCGGGATGATGAACCCTAATGTGTTCTTCACCAATGCTGTCCCGGCTGACCATTCGGAATACTTCTCCAATGGATAGGCCATGATGCAAGCGGTCACGTCCCACTCTGGGATGTACTTGGTGTTCCTGAAGTAGAAAGTGGGCAAGGAAGCCAAAGCGGCTAATCCCCACACTATGAAGGCCACAACCGATGCCTTCTTGGGAGTTCCTTGTTGGGACCGGAAAGGGTGGATGATGGCCTTGTAGCGGTTGCCACTCATGCAAGTGATGAAGAAGATGCTGGCAAACATTGTAAGAGAGAGGAGCGAGCCAGAGATCTTGCACATTGCTGAGCCGAAGCGCCAGTTGTACCCGTAGGCGTAGTAAGCGGCCCAGAAGGGGACAGTAACCAAGGCAAGGAGGTCGGCCACCGCCAAGTTGACAATGTAGACATTGGCTACCGTCTTTGGCTTCCGTTGCCAACACAACACTGCAACAACGATACTATTGCCCACCAGTCCTAGGATGAAGATGAAGCAGTAAAGCGTTGGGATGACCACAAACTGGTAGTTGGAGCGGAGGACCGGACAAGGAGAGGACAAGTTGGAGGCATTGGTTGGGGATGAGAAAAGGTCATGTAGTGTCTCTTCCCTGGTGAGGATCATGGAGTCATTGCTGGAATCCATAATGGTGTCCAATGAAGAAATGTGAGTTGCGGTGAACTCACAGGCATAGCATAGTTTTGCTTTGTACAATCCAAATGCTAAGGCTTTGTTGTCCTGAAAGAGAGAAAATAAGTAAACAGTGATTTGCATGTTTGTGCTCTGCCATAGTCAAAGCTTGGAAAAAGTTACTTTTTTGACTGTCATACTTCTAACCATCATAACCACTTGGGGACTGTGGAGGTTGTAGCCCCAAAAAGTAACTTATCAAAGCTCACATAATCATAAGGAATGTGATTGCTTATCACATGAGCTCAGAGTATGTGATTTGGGTTTCATTTATGAGAGAAAAACAAGATGATGATGATGATGATGATATTTATTATTATTATTATTATTATTATTATTATTATTATTATTATGTAGGAGCCCCCGGTGGTGCAGTGGGTTTAACCCCTGTGCCGACAGGACTGAAGACCAACAGGTTGCAGGTTTGAATCTGGGGAGAGCGCGGATGAGCTCCCTCTATCAGCTCCAGCTTCTCATGCGGGGACATGAGAGAAGCCTCCCACAAGGATGATAACAAACATCAAAACATCCAGGCTTCACCTGGGCAATGTCCTTGCAGACGGCCTATTCTCTCACACCAGAAGCGACTTGCAGTTTCTCAAGTCACTCCTGACATGACGCTGATTGGGGGGAAAGGGGAAAGTGTAGCCATCCTGAGAGGATGGAATAGCAGAGCGGTGGGGACGACCTGGCGGTGGTAGGTGCGGGGGGGCACGCCGGAGAGAAGGAGCAGGACTCAGCTAAGGAAGCGTGCGCCGTGTGGCTCTCCACGCTTGCCAAAGAGAGAGGGAAGG